AATTCTGTTAGTAATAATTTTTGTGTAGACTTTGCGAGTGTGTTCAATAAGACTTATTGGGCGAGTAAGATTAAGGTTTCTATCGAATGTATTTTATTTAGGAATAGGGTATATGATGATCATTTTACTTATATTGGTATATAGTAAATTTAATATAGTATGAAAATGCAAATTAGGAAGAACATGTAGAAATCATGATAGATGTATACTTTGTAAAGGAAAAATTCTTTCTAATTTTTCTACAACCTTATATAAAAAAACAATGCTTGCACTTGCTCTAACTTTAAACATTAAAAATAGGTTTACTTGTAATTATATACTATATATGATAGGCCAAACTACCTCTGTCAGATTATGCAGATATTTTTATAGTTCAAATCAAATTACAGAACAATTAACTTTACTGTTACCAGTATGTATACAAAAATATGCACTATTCAAATATCTGCATAACTAATAATTATTTTATGATAGGAGCTCAATTTTCATATATCTGTATAATTGCACAGTACTACTTTACTAACTACTTATTCTAATATCTGTTACCTAATATGTACAAACTTGTATACATAAATTATTTTTTGTTTTTTTCTTTAATATATCATTTTTCTTCTCTTGCACATTCTAATTCTTTCTTTTTTCATGTTCTATCAATTCTTTTTTGTGTGACAACTTCTTTTTTTGCTTAATTTTGTTGGCTTTTTTCTTGACCTCTTCCTCCACATCTTTCAATAACTTGAAAGATGCTTTGTTTGTAAGAAGTTTAGAAATGACATAGTTTTTTTTTTTTCTCTTTTGTAGCTATGCTTTAGGTTGAATCATAGCTTAATCTGAATCTTTAGCTATTTAAAAAGTATAAGAAAAAGGATACTTAAGTGCTAAATATAAAGAACAGATGCCAGAATTTTTTAAAGTTTCTAATTCATCTTTCATTGCTTTTAACTTTGCTTCCAACTGATTAACTCTAATATTAAATAATTTAACCTCTATTTTTAATGTTTTTTTTTTATTAATAATAAAGTTAGAACTTGGATTTAAGTTAGAAGATTGTAGCAGAGAAGTTGGTATAGATAAAGATTGTGTTGAAGAAAATTGTGAAGATGATGAAGCTGGTGTAGGTTGAATTGGTGAAATATTAAATTGTTCTGTTGTTAGAGAAGGATTGAGACAGTCAAGACTAATTGCATTTAGGTTAAACAGCCAGATTTTAGTTGTTTTAAAAATATTGTAAATAGACATAGATGTGTAGATTTTAATATAAGCCAGGCCAAGAATTTTAGTGAATGTATATTTTGTAACTAATTCACTATTATTATCTAAACAGAGCTGCTCGCAGCCTTTATTGTAGGCTTTTTTGAGCTGAGCAAAAGAAAGTTTTGCAGGTTGAAGTATATGGGTTGTATGGGATAGAAGTGCATATAGAAAAATGTTATTATTAAAATAAAAGTTAATATATGCATAATTAATATGACTTTTATAACTATCAAGAATTAATAGAACAGAATAGGTAGGTAGTATTGAATGAATAAAATGTTCAATGTATTTTTGAAAAAGACATTTTTTCATATATGCTGTATTTGTGAACTCCATAACAGAACTCACAAGTGCACTATTCAAGAGACCAGGAATAGTGCATTTTCTTTTAAAGATGATTAATGATGGTATATATGTTCTGGCAGCCAAGATAGTTGGACATACTGAAATATTTTATTGGAAGTTTTCATATAAAACCTAATAAACTTGATGGGAACCCTTCTTTGAAATAATTTTTTAAAGAGTTGGATTAATAATAAATCCTGTTTCATTCTAAATATAATTAAAAAAAAAATTAGCATAAAAAAAAGGACAAAAAAAGAAAAAAAAAAGAAAACAAAAGAAAAAAAAACCATGTTTCAAATTCAATCTGATATAAGTAAGTAATTTTTAATTATTTTTTGAAGCTTTTGAAAGTGATCTCTGATATCAACAGAGTTAGCTCTTTGAGCTCATGCTTCATTTAAGGTTTGTGGGACATAAAATGAAAGCTATAAGTGGTCTCTTATAAATTGTTCCTACCATAACTGACCTGGCCTGCTTTCTCTAAAAAGATGTAATCGATTGCTTTGGTAAACAATCTCCATTACACAGTAATTTACCCTTGTCTTGTTAATCCAAAACCAAGCTTCTGCATGTTCAAGCAGTAACTGACAAGTTGTTGTTCTTCATAATCAGTTAAGACTTTGACAAAGTTTAGGTGATCAAGAAGGCTGTTATTTTTAATGATACATCTTAAAGAGATTTTTGAGATACCAAATTTTTTTGCAATACTTCTATAACTTGATAGCTTGAAATTGGTTTGAGAATTTTTAAGTTCTTAAAGAGCATTTTGAATTGCATTTTGTCTTATAGATTGATTACTGTTTAGTGATATTTTTTTTTTCTTTTTTTTTTTTTAATGCAGGTTTATACTATATATTTTATTTATTTTTTTTTCTATTAATTAGGAACATGCAAAAAGGTATAGCTTAATTTATATTATTAGTAACTTGTAACATTCTTTTTTATTTATTTTTATGATATAGATTATTGTATTTGCACTAATAATATTTATGTATATTATATTAAAATAATGTATACTAATATTATTTGAGCAAATATGTTATGCTTTTTAACTTAAGTATTACTTTCTACTTAACATTATATTAAATTAGTTGTTCGAGATTAATTATATATTTATTATTAAAAACTTTTTATACAATAAAGATCAACATACTAAATACAATATAGAAATGGAATACAAACATGCATTCTCCTAAATATGTCATAAAAAGTTAGGGCTCTATTAAATTACAGGCAATTACTGGTTAATTGCATTCTAATCTAACTGACTGAACCATTTTGACATGGATGATCTAGTTTACTATAACCTGGTTCTAAACTCTAGTTTTACAAACTCTTTAATTTTTTTTGTGTCTCTTTAGTCTTACATTCATCAATAAGATCTATTTTTTTAAATATTAATAAATTTTGAGTGAATATATCTTTGAAGAAATAAACATTCATTTTTCAAGATTAATAAAAAAAAATTGCTTACTAAAAATAAGAACAAAGAAATATGTATAGCTTATTATCTATTGCTATTTTTCTGTATTTTTAAAAAATTATTCTGCCTTGCATTCTCTGAATCTATGCCTCCTTTAATTATTTAATACTGATTAATTTTTGATATATTACAAAAAATTTTCTTTAAGATTTTTTTTTTTTTTTTTGAATTTCCACTGCTTGATCACTAGTGGTCCGCAGCTGGCGGCTGTTTTATTAGTTCAAATTTCAAGTTCACGGGACCTTCTATCAGGACCCCGTCTA